ACTCTCAAGTCCTCTCCTCCTCTCAGAGCCCTCTCTCTCACTCTCAGAGCCACTCTCTCTCCTCTCAGGCCCTCTCTCTCACTCTCAGGTCCTCTCTCACTCTCCAGGTCCTCTCTCTCACTCTCGGAGCCACTCTCTCTCACTCTCAGGCACTCTCTCACTCTCAGGCCACTTTCTCTCACTCTCAGGCCACTCTCTCTCACTCTCAAGCCACTCTCTCTCTCACTCTCAGGCCATTCTCTCACTCTCAAATTCACTCTCTCACTCTCAGGCCACTCTCTCCCTCTCAGGCCTCTCTCTCCCTCTCCAGGCCCTCTTTTCTCACTCTCCAGGTCACTCCTCACTCTCTCTCGCTCTCAGGCCACTTTCTACTCACTCTCAGGCCACTCCTCACTCTCGGAGCCACTCTCCTACTCTCAGGCCACTCTCTCTCCCTCTCTGGGCCACTCTCTCTCTCCACTCTCCAGGCCACTCTTTCTCACTCAAGTCCTCTCACTCTCTCGCTCTCCAGAGCCACTTTCTCCTCTCAGGCCTCTCTCACTCTCAGGCCACTCTCTCTCCCACTCTCAGGCCTCTTTTCTCCTCTCAGGAAGTCACTCTCCTCTCAGGTCACTCTCTCACTCTCACTGGCCTCTCCTCTCACTCTCGAATCCTCTCTCCTCTCAAGGCCCACTCTCTCTCGCTCTCAGGCCCTTTCTCCTCTCAGGCCACTTTCTCACTCTCGAGCCACTCTCTCACTCTCAGAGCCACTCTCTCTCACTCTCCAGGCCTCTTTCTCCTCTCAAGCCCTCTCTCACTCTCCAGGTCACTCTCTCACTCTTGTTGCTCTCTCACTCTCAGATCACTCTCTCACTCTCAGGCCACTCTCTCTCACTTTCAGGTACTCTTTCTCACTCTCAGGTCCTCTCTCTCTCACTCTCAGAGCCCTCTTTCTCACTCTCAGGTCACTCCTCACTCTCTCACTCTCAGGCCACTCCTCTCACTCTCCAGGCCACTCTCTCACTCTCAGGCCACTCTCTCCTCACTCCTCAGATCGCTCTCTCACTCTCAGGCCACTCTCTCTCACTCTCAGAGCCCCCACTCTCTCTCACTTCAGGCCCTCTCTCTCTCACTCTCAGAGTCACTCTCTCACTCTGGGGCGCTCTCTCTCACTCTCAGAGACGCTCTCTCTCTCTCACTCTCAGGCCACTCTCTCTCACTCTCCAGGCCTCTCTCACTCTCAGAGTCCTCCTCTCCTCTCCAGGACGCTCTCTCACTCTCCAGGCCTCTCTCTCACTCAGAATCCTCTTTTCCTCTCAAGACGCTCTCTCACTCTCAGAGCCACTCTCACTCTCAAGGGCCACTCTCTCTCTCACTCTCAGGCCACTCTCTCTCACTCTCAGATCACTCTTTCACTCTCAGGCCACTCTCTCACTCTCAGGCCACTCTCTCTCCCTCTCAGGCCGCTCTCTCTCACTCTCTCACTCTCTCTCTCTCTCTAGTCTACACGGGGGATGAACCCAAAATGGCGGTTCTTTTTTTTTCTCCTTAGCTGGATTTTACGTCCTTAATATCGACAATGGTTTAATTTATGGTTTAATTTACTTAGATTTTTATCCAAGCAAGCTTCAGGTGGTTTAATTTATGGTTTTAATTTGCTTGAATTTTGTCCGACGAAGCTTCAGGTGGTTTTAATTATCAGTTTTAATTTACTTAGATTTTATCCGACGAAGCTTCAGGTGGTTTAATTTATGGTTTAATTTACTTAGATTTTATCCGACGAAGCTTCAGGTGGTTTAATTTATGGTTTAATTTACTTAGATTTTATCCGACGAAGCTTCAGGTGGTTTAATTTATGGTTTAATTTACTTAGATTTTATTCGGCGAAGCTTCAGGTGGTTTAATTTATGGTTTAATTTACTTAGATTTTATCCGACGAAGCTTCAGGTGGTTTAATTTATGGTTTAATTTACTTAGATTTTATCCGACGAAGCTTCAGGTGGTTTAATTTATGGTTTAATTTACTTAGATTTTATTCGATGAAGCTTCAGGTCTCAAGTTTTAAATAATTACGGCTTCATATCGTCAAAATTTCAATCCTGCAATTGAGTCGTTTTCAAACTTCGAGTTCATGACGTCATCCGGATTCATTAAAGGGTGTTACGTCATCGATCTTACTCACTTAAAAGTCTTCTGAAAATACCTCGTCCTTCGATACTGGGGCTTATAATTATTCGGGATATTTTTAATGGTGTTTATAGATTATTGTTACAGATAAACATAGTGTATGGTCTTTCTTATATAATTGTTGGCGCTGTGGTACGATGACGTTTGTAGTGACGTCATGGTTATATGATGACAGGTGGTGACGTCATGGTTATATGATGACAGGTGGTGACGTCATCCGCATGGAGGGAGTTGCTGAGGTATGGTAAAATGAAGCCTTAGTTCTCCGTTTCACCTTAACTCTCTATAATCGAATTCGTTGTTATATTGTAATACATCTATATATTTTACAGTACTCAGGTTTAAATAAATAAATAAATAAACCCACTGGTATTTACCTGGACACACTCACATAAAACATCTATTTATCAGTAAGTTAATTTATCTTGTCTTGAGGCTGAACGACTGTGTAAAAATCAGTCTTTCCGATAAAAAAAATATATATACTGTTAATTAAGCTTTATTTATACTTTGGATTTATTTTAGTATATAAATTGAACTTCATTTCACGTTTGGATTTGTTACACTAAAATTTTATCCTTAAATCCATCGAGACTGACGGGCGGATGTTGGATACTGAGGCAACGCGCGTATCTCTCATATAGTCATGGGTTCGAATCTCTTCCCAGGATTCCCTCCGGTTTCCTCCTGGACTAAAACTAATGATTAAGTTACCTGGATGTAAATAGTATATCCAAAATAATAATGAAAATAATAATGAAAATAATAATAATAATAATAATAATAATAATAATAATGATGATAATAATAATAACAATAAAGAATAATAATATCAAACTTGGTATCTTTATTTCAGAATTCCTTACACATAACAGTTTAAAAAATATATAGGAACATGAAGAACAGTACCAAAAATTATATTATTGTAACAAAAGACAGATAACGTGTGTGACCCCCTGAGCGCCTCGGATAGGTTAGCTCAGCTCAAAGCAGCAGACATACTCCAATCTAGCGGCTCACAGCAGATATACTCTAGTTCAAGGCAGACATACTCTACCTCAAAGCAGACATACTCTACCTCAAATCAGGCATACTCTAGATTACATCAAGCGTACTGCGGATCGAAGCAGACAAAATCTAGATAAATAGATAGACAGATATGTAGATAGATATATAGATAGATAGATAGATAGATAGATAGATAGACATATATTCAGTATAATCACCATACAAGGGCATATTGGCTCAACGTAAGGTAGACAGTTCAGGTAATATATACGTAATAATGAACAATAAATCGAATCATGTAAGGCAAGACCAAGAAAGTTATTAAACGGACGTAAACTTTTCAATTTACTTTACTTTACTGCAGACACTTAACACGGTCTAAATCATTGTCGACAACACGGTCTAAATCATTGTCGACAACACGGTCTAAATCATTGTCGACAACACGGTCTAAATCATTGTCGACAACACGGTCTAAATCATTGTCGACAACACGGTCTAAATCATTGTCGGTCTAAATCATTGTCGGTCTAAATCATTGTCGACAACACGGTCTAAATCATTGTCGACAACACGGTCTAAATCATTGTCGACAACACGGTCTAAATCATTGTCGACAACACGGTCTAAATCATTGTCGACAACACGGTCTAAATCATTGTCGACAAACAAGGTCGTGTCAGTGGCTCTACTCCATACTACTGTGATCAAGGGCGTGATTCGGGGGTGAGAAGGGCGTTGTCCAGTGTTAACTCCTACCCAACTTGGCAGGTTTTCTGTCTACTCCGACGTCCTCCTGTACCCACACTGGTCTAGACGATAAATGACGGAGAAAATAATAAGAAAAATAAATACATAGATTTTAGGCCTAGGCAGACATTCTCTCGTGGAAGTAGACTATAGACTACAGTTCCTACATTATTAAAACAGAAGCGCCAGCACAAGCAATTAAGAGCGCCAGGCGATTCCTTCCACCCTTGCAATGACACGACTATCGAGGTTACTGTCAAGCGAACGTGCTACCTGCTTTACCGCCACCCCTCAATGATAAACTTATGGGAGCTACGCCAGACGAACCCTCGCCAGCCTCATAGTGCTGTATCTAACTGTTAAGATCTCGGCCCAAGTTATGGAAGTCTGCTAGGCTAACGTTCGCCCACTTCGTACCTACAGTGGCGCACTTTTCTGACGTGTAAGTTGTGGAAGTTACGCTAGACGTATGTACGCTGCACTTTTATGGTAGGGCGAGTTGATGTCGCAGGTGGTCAAGATGAAAGGGTTCCTCTAACACTGGTAGTTTCAGAGACCTTGATAATATCTTCTGGACCTTCGTCACGTTCCTAGGAGTCGACCACACAAAAGTGTTTGGTGCGCTTTTGAAAATCCGGGCGTCGAGGAATGTATCTGGAGACTATCTGGGGTAGTGGGTGCGTCCACGTGGTGAATGTGGTGATGGCGATGTGCAAGCAGATCTGGTGCCGCCCTCCCCTCCCACTCCTCCCCCTCCTCCGCTGGGCAGGTCCCGGTGGCGGCGGCGGGGACGTAGGGCCAGCCTCGACGCCTCGCCGGAAGCTGGGACGTGCCTGTGCGTAACAGGAGAATTGTTCCTCCGTCAGATGGCGGCGTGGATGACCGATGGATACTGTGGGGGACGTGGCCGCTCTCGCACCGAGGACCACAAGGCTCAAGTTTCCTTTTGGAGGTTGCGCGCGCCCGTTTAGGCCGGCCCTCCGCCGCCCGCCCGCCAGGATTAGACAATGTAACCCGGACGGGCATTCCGACCAAAAATACCACCTTTGGCAACGACCGCAGCGCCATCTACTAAGTATAAAATTAACCCGCAACGCTGAAGCAGTAGTCACTTCAGGTCTGCCTTTTGCCCCGTTAACGTGGTGTGCTAGAGGCTAAGTCAAGATGGTAAGTGTTCTTCAACTCTTGGATACCCACGACTTTAGTGAAGCAAACAAACTAATATGGTGAAGAGCCCATACCCAGTGCCCTGTGGATTGTATAGTGTGTTGAGTTATTGTGCGATGATCACACCAAGCCCTACTACACCCGAATCTACTACAGTGATACACTCAGTGTTGAGCCAGGGTGTAGTCTGCTACAACAGCCCCGCCCATAACTGCAGGCGGTGCCAACCGGATGTCTGTGTGTATGTGTGTTAGTTAGCATCCCAGTGAAGTTCGTTTTCCTGTCAGCAATACGGAGAAGACGATCATTCAATGATCTGCAGATGAGAAAGTCTTGCCTGTCACCGAGCACAGAGATAAAGTGCGCTTGTTCAGCCATGGTTCTGTTGTTACTGGCATGTTTGATATACAGTACTGTACACACCTCAGAATCCTAACGCCAGGTCTCCCTACACCGGCTACATTCACACAAATTCGACTCAGTTTCGATTCACAGTGCTTTATTTTGTTTTTTATTTTATGTTTAGTTTATAATGCAATATTGATATTAGCGTCACAGCATTTCATCATTAGGATGGATTGAGTTACATTTGTAGTGAAGCTTTTCATTATATCTAAAAAAATATTAATTGATATATGAATTAGTCTTTTTTTAGTTTTGCCTGTGCTTTTATTTATTTCTGTGATTTACTTATGTATTCTTCCCTTTTCTCCTTCCTCAGGCCGCGGATCTCAGTGCTCGTGATGTTGAGAGTAAGTAAAAAAAAAAAGTCAGTGAGTAAGGACATACCGCCAACATTCCACTGGATACACTCCAGCGACCTCATGGCAGCTAATGTTGAAAAATAGCTCTCGCCATCTGTCCGATGACTCTTGATCGCTCGCACCACAGCAGTGCTGCTGTTTGCAAGTCATAAAATAAATCATGCATAGAAAGCTATAACTAGGAGACATAAGCCTAATGTGTCGCATATTAGAAAAAAATTGAATTGTTACGTCGTAAACATTGAATCGAAGACTGCATTCATTTGTGAAAAACTTTCAAGAAAAAAATTACGCTGTATTCAATAAGTCTACCTTCGTGAATGAAACTTTAGTTTATAACAAGAGTTACTCCTTCAACTGCGATAACTACTTGACAAACAAGAGGAGGATCAAATATGGGAAAGCGTGGAGGCAGACGGTAGCCTATCACCGGCAGGTACTAAAAATACCGCGGGGGGGTGGGGGGTTGGGGGGGGGCAGCCAGCCAGCCCGCCCGGCCCTGCCCTCACTAACCGCCCAGCACCTCGCAAAAATTCTCCCGTTTATAATTATCTCGTAAAATTCTCTAGTCACTCTCGGATATGCTTTCGACTTAGAATAAATGAATGAAAATAACTTTAAGATAATTTTTGGGAAATAATTCCCACTTGGAACTACTTTAATATCAATGTAAGAAATAATTTCGACTTAAAAAAATACATAAAGATTACTTGTTATCCTAATAGAGAATAAAATCGACTTCAAACAATTTAATAACTTATATAATTGTTGTAAAAAACAATTACAACTTTAAGCAATTGTTTGAAAATAACTCCTTGCCCTCGGCCACATTTTTCTTGGCTTGCGTCACCATTCAAGTTCAGTATTTGCTTACGACATTGACAAGACTTGAGGTTAAGTTAATGGATATTGGTTACCATACACTGAAGCCAACCAAGGAAGGAAGAACCAACCTCTACACAGTTTCCAGCGTTGATGGGTGTGATGAGGCCAATTATGGTACAGTACTCAAGCGGTCTCACGGCCACGTCAGCCACCGCCGAATAGTTGGTCGACTTTCTCTAAATAAGGAAAGGCATCTTAACTAACTTCAAGCTCTCCTTACTTGCTGAAATTTTCTTTGAGAAAGCATAACCCTTTTTATTATTTTGAGTCAATAACTCGATTGAAAAGTCAGACTATACGCGCTTAAAGACCTTAGTTGTTGATGCGCAATAAAAACATTTTAACAATAAGTCAAACCTTCAAATTCCCTCGCCGACAAGCGCAAAAGACACTAGATAATGGAGACGGTTATTAGACCACGCTTGGTTTAAGTTCTGACCATAATAAACCCATAACCGAATTAAGAACCAATAACCACATAATGACAAGCACTTATCAAAATTTACGTGATAAATAAATGAACCTTGATGGACGCTTGACACCATACACTCGTCTGGTGTGGTGAACCCTAGGATGACTAAACTTTTGTTATCATTACTATACAGTTGCCTCTTGTAGCATGGCGAGGGTCCAGACGTATACACCATCCAGCCATTATGGGCTAGACATAGTCATCACTTATCCAACTCTTATGACGTCTTCAAAGTCGCCCAATATTCACTTACTCAGATGACAGATGACAGCTGTAGTGTATTATACTTACACCGCTAACATAGATATTTTGGCCTTTCTCGTTTTTTTTTCCGCTCTTTGATTCTTATTGCATTAATTTTATTTATATTTCTTTAGGGAAGTCATTTACACAGGAAGAAGTTTGTCTTTATTTATATAGCACTCAAGCTTGGAGTGAAATTGGCTCTGACACTGAACGTTTAATTATTAGGTATGACAAATTCTCAGTAACAAAGAAATACAAACGGCTTTTGTATCAGAATAGTCTCGCCCTTATCATAAAGATGCTCTGATGACTTGTGAGAGATGGAAACGAAATCAATTTTAATGGGTAACTAAATTATACCATTAACATATATATCAATATAATATTCGCCTTTTTAGCAAATATGTCAACCAATTCCTTTATTCTTATAGTTATTGAATTACTTTGTCCTTATAAGTATTGGACCATTTATGTAAGTAAGATCACCGAGCGCCATCATAGAAATACGACTTTGTTATCGTTAAGTTTAGGAATGAGCGGTTATCAAGGCTATAGATAGAGAATATCCATGGAGCTGTGGAGACGATATCCAAAACTAGTTGAAGAAGCGATATCCACGAGCTGTAGTGAAGGAACATCCAGAGGGTTGTAGTGAGGATATCAATTGGCTGTTGTAGACGGGATATCTAAGGAATTGTAGAGAGGGTTATCAAGGGGCTGAGACGAGATATCAAATGGACACTGGGGAGGATATCCAAAGCGCTATACGGGATGTCCACAGGTTTATAAAAGATATCAAGAGGGTTGTAAACGATATCTAGAAGGTAGTGGACGATATCTAGAAGGTAGTGGACGATATCTAGAAGGTAGTGGACGATATCTAGAAGGTAGTGGACGATATCAAGAAGGTAGTGGACGATATCTAGAGGGTTGTAAACGATATCTAGAAAGGGCACACTCACAGAAAGCAGCTTGTGCGTGTGTGTGTGTGGGCGGGGTACTACCTTATTTGGTCTGGTACTATTTTGGGCGACACCTGATAGCATTGCGACCTGCCAAGAGTGTTAGTGGGAGGTAGAGGGTGCCAGGAGGGGGAGGGGGGGGGGTGAGGGTGAGGGTGCCAGGGAGGGGATGAGGAGAGAATGAGGTTGCCAACTATGCTAGACAGACTTTATCAGAAACAGCTTATAAGGCGGTCTTGGTGTAGCTAGGATTTCTACAAAGTGAAAACAGTTCTTCTTTTGGGTAGATATTAACTTCTTACTTTTGGCGACAAGAAAGGAAGTAATATAATGCTTTCTTACTGTAGTATTAAGTCATAAGTGTTAGTTCTAGTTTCACAACGTCTCCTGGTAAAAACTCCACATTTGAGATCATAGTTTTACTCTGTACTTTTTTTTTAAATTTGGTCGCGATAAAAATTTTGCATTATAGACAGCCTTCTTCATCATAAAGTTCCATAAAAGTTTCGTATGTCGTTTGAGGAAAGGAAGAAAAATTTACCTTATTTAAGAACATCAACCCCGGAAAAAAAATTACAGCTTACTCTTCGATTTTATGTAGAATATAAAGGTTATAGCATTTTTTTACACTCATGTTCACTACCTAATATGATGGCATAAGTAGTTGTTCTAGTGTGTCCAATTAGGTACCAAAAGGTTTATATGGCGTAAAAATAAGTAAGTAAACACATCAAGACAATACAAAAATTACACTCATTTTAATTTATCTACGAGATACTGGAGTTCTACAGTACATGTGTTGTTTACGTCGTAAGTTTGTTTGTGACAATGTAAACAAACATATGGGTCCAAGCAACGCACCTTTCGCGCCAAAATTGTTCGTACGCTAATTTCCTGCCGTCGCTTCCTTCCGCAGGGGTGAAATTCGCCTTCTCCATCTACGACTTCGAAGGCAATGGCACCATGGATGCCTTCTACATTGGCGACTGCCTTCGAGCCTTGAACCTCAACCCTACCTTAGCTGTCATAGAAAAGGTTGGAGGCAAGGAAAAGAGGAAGGAGAAGATGATCAAGTTGGAGGAATTCATGCCTGTCTTCGCTCAGGTTAAGAAGGACAAGGACGCCGGCTCCTACGAAGATTTCATGGAGGTCCTCAAGCTCTACGACAAGTCTGAGAACGGCACCATGATGTACGCTGAGCTTGAACACATCCTCATGTCCCTTGGTAAGTCTATGACAACGCTTCTTCCTCAAGAGAGTCACGGAAGTAGCTCAAATTTACTCTCCGTCCTCAGCTTACTTCATATTCAAAGCAGTTAGCGGTTCCTCGCTGCCTTTAGCTCTTAAAAATTTCAGTAACATCTTCATATTAAGATAAAGACGAAATATTCAATGGCAGTTGTGACATTCTTAAGATAATTTGTTTGTTAGGTCACTTTTGGAACTTAAATGTTACCTACAACATTTTAGCAAGGATGAAGGTCATCTTACCAGTAACCCAGGCCATCCTACCAGTTACCCACGGCATCCTAACAACAGCAGTAGTCTTGTTACATTACTTAATACTTATCACACAAGGTATTGCGTGTGTGTGTCATTAACCAAGTGCTGCATCCCCAGGTGAGCGTCTCGAAAAGTCCGAATTGGAGCCCGTACTGAAGGAATGCTGCGACGAGGAGGATGAAGAAGGCTTCATTCCTTACGAGCGTGAGTATTCCACACCACCCTATGGCAACCCGAATTCAGGGGACCTGCGTCAATAGCATCTCTTTGTTGACCCCCTAAAACTGAAGGAATGCTGCGACGAGGAGGATGAAGAAGGCTTCATTCCTTACGAGCGTGAGTATTCCACACCACCCTATGGCAACCCGAATTCAGGGGACCTGCGTCAATAGCATCTCTTTGTTGACCCCCTAAAAGTCCCCGGGAAATCATTCTTTTAATTGATTTCGTGGCAAGTGGTTCCCCCCTCCTCCCCTCCCCCCACGTCTATGCGACCTAGGGTTTGCACTTTTCCATATACAAGGAAAACCCAACCTATTATCTTTTCATTATAACGAAAAGATTATAAACTTGTTTTGTACGAGTTTAGTGAAGCCCCATCTTATTCCCCCTCTCCTCCCCCAATGGTTTTAAGCCCCTCTAAACCCCCATTAGCTGAAAATCGTAAAATAGTGGACATTTCCCCCATAAAATGACATGGTTTACATCCCTCCCATGCCCCATTAGTTGAATATAGCGAAACATTTTCCCCCATGAAACGACCTGGTTAAATTCCTCCATCTCCCACTAGTTTGAAATAGACAACTTCTCCCTTTAAAACTGCTTGCTGTAATATATACAGTAAGAAGAGTATGCATATGCCCCCATCCCCCATCATCCCTCCATACGCCCCCATATGGAAAAAGACTCGTTAAATTACCGCAAAAGTAAACACCGCATCAAGTAGTACTCAGATTAGCTCTATGCTAGCCATCTCTTTCTCATTCCTTATTATTATCTCCGTTAAAACGTGTTATTATTGAAATGTTACATGTTATTCCGTAGATTTCATTGTCAAAAGTATACATTAATGTTTCTTTATATTTCTTACAGTGTTTGTTCCTTTCTAAATAAAATTTTCATTGTAAGCGATAAATTTGACCTTAAAAATTGTCTAATAATATTTAGTTATACTTTACACTTGGTAATTTATTCCCAACTTAAAAGAATATAAACTTATTGATTTTAATCTTATTTTCTTCTATGTTGTCACTTAAAAACTAAAGTAAGAATTCTTATTAATATATAATTATAATCATATATGTCTTTAAACATCATTGTTTGTCTATCACCGTCTTTTATGTTTTGCATTCACGAGAAAGGCATAAAACAAACTAACACCTTCATCAGTAACTCCAATATAAGTCTCAATAATCTTGTCATTTTCATATTTTCTTTCAAACTTCGCGCGTCTGGCTCTAACGGTATCCTGTAGGCGTCTTACCAACAGTAGTAATTGTCTTTAGTTTGCTCAAAAGTCTAGCATGTTCACATCATTTTGCTCAAATGCTGTGTTGAACAATATTGGATCATTTTGGTTCAATTCTCATGAGCTTTATTGAAACTTCTGTATTTAAAAATCATCTTTATTTTGCTCAACAGTCTTTCGTTACTCATGTTCATTGTCCTTGAAAAAGAGTCCACCGTGCCCTACTAAAGGCGCGGCCGCTGGAATAATTCACTTTTATAGCAGTGAATTATTCTGTGTTGCTTGTGTAGCCTGTCTGTCACCTCCTTGCTAGTGTGTGTCCCCTTCCTTGCTCGATCACATCCTCATCTCCGTTCCAAACACCGCCAAACTCCTTGTCTCCTGAATTTTCTGTGTGTAATCCTAAGCTAATTCCATTGGGTGACTTTCTCTTACAGCTTTCCTTACGAAACTCTGCAAAAGCATCAAGTAAAACTCCAGAATCATGCGTAAGTAAGTGTGCGCTAAGCTGGGACGAGAGTGTGCGTCCCAGCGTCTCCCTCACCCTAGCGTCATTTTCTCGCCCTACCATAAATTTGTGATGATAATCTAAATTTACCAGCATGGTTTATCCTTGACTTTATATAGCGGAGATAGATCGTGCTTATGAGAGATTATCATCTAAAATTACTTCCAATTACCCAATAGCCCCTTTGTAGCTAATTGCCCTCTCCCGTTGCACACCCTTGGGTCAATAAATATATTTTTACGAAGGAAAATTATAGACTTATCCTTCTTTGTAGATTTTTCATACTCATTCAAATTAATGTTTGAAGTTTTCTTAATGTAACACCCAAAGAGCATCCCCACTGTAGTTGTAAATAGTCCTCCCTCGTCCCACATGTATCCCATTTACTCCCACCAAACCCTTTTTATTGACAAACATGTGAAAAGCTTTGGTTAAAGTGTTAAAGTATCCTCCATAACCCCACCCTGAAACATGATTTCTTGGGCGTATATAAACGGACGAGAAAATACTTTGTGATTTTTTTTTTATGGAAAAGGTACAACCATTCCATAGAGCGGAAATGACGCCGTATGGTGATGCATTTTCTGTCATCTCCCTTTTTTTTTAAGGATTCAGATAACCATTTTTATTTTACTCTGGGTGTTTGAGGAATTTAATCCTTAAAAAAAGGATCAAACCTCATATTTTTTGTGTACCAAATTTTTTATTTTAAGACTTTCAGGGATTTCTTGCATATTTTGATTACAACTTTCAAATTATTTTTACAGCGTTCCTTAAGAGAATTTTGAGCTTCAAAATCTAGAGGACAATTCTAGTAAGTTTTGGTACAGTGATGATTTTGATGTGTATTACTGTATATGTGTAGATTTTTCCGCGTCTTAACAACTGGCAGATAGTGCGCCTGGCCGCTCATAACCAATTATTTTTTGTCATACATTTTCGTCCGTTTTCGTCTATTATTTTTGTTATTTTATGTTCCCAGTGAAGAAACTACATCTTCATATCTTGGTAATACTTTCTTTCTTGTTTTCCCGTGATTATATATTTTTGTTTCCGTTCAAGATCAGTGGTTCATTGCGCCTTGCGGGTTTCTCTTTTTTTCTCTTATTTTTGTTGAAATTTTACGTTGTCGATAATTCGTGATTCTTCTTTGATTTTCTATTTTACACTCATTTCCACTTTTATTTTATTTCTTATGGGCTAACTTTAAGAATATATACGTACATGTATATATTTACAAAATGCGCTTCCAATTATATTAGTCTGCAATAGATTTGGCTTCTAGTTAAACAACAGAGCACATTTAATAGCTCTAATAGACTGCTATAAACAAAATTACTAGTATATTATATGAAAAGGCATGCTTAGTGTATACAATTCGGTCTTTGAATTTAGTGATATAAAAGTACATACAGAATATATTTTTAGTATAGAGATTCAAAAGTTCTAAATGACAACAGTATTTTTGTGGTAAATTTCACTGTTCATTACATTTAGAAAGGCTGCATGATATTTTTGTCTATTTGCTTTTGTAGAGTAACATATAATATACAATTTTTATCAAGAGTCTAACATGTACTTTTCGTCTTCACAGCTTTCCTGAAGAAGATGACCGCCTTGCTCTAAATACGTCCGCCATCTTCTTTTGTGACGTCATCAGAGTGCGCATGCGTGCAACACCACCGCCATTCGGAGTGTCAGTGTGCAGTGTACAATCATTCTGTGGGCTCGACCAAACCACAGACATTTATTAGCCATATTACACAAAAATATAATCTATGGAAAAAAAAAGCGAATATGAGTGAAAAAAATTTATTTCCATATTTAAGAAATGTGAGCCACCCGTTACATGCTCATTATGTCCTTCTGTCTGTATGTGTGTGTGTGTGTTCGTGTAGCGTCGAAGGTCCCATGGATCAGTTGAACGTCTCCTTTCTCATCCACGCGGGGTGAAGGAGGGGTCAAGGCAGCGGCGACTCGTGTTGACTCGTAGACCTGAAGTGACCACTGAGCGATCCGCCTATAGTTGACTACCCGACACCACCTGGAGGTAGGAAGCTAGAAGCCATTAAAACGACGCCCGCGGCCCAGCCCAGACGACCATCCATCGCCATCTTTCCTGGGCGGCACGGGACCGTCACAGAAATAAAATACAAAACATCTGACATCCAGCATCACGGCCGCCCGCTGCCTTCATTGACCCCTCGTCCCCATGAGTGCCTCTGAACGCGCCCAGCGAGGTGACCAGGGGGAGTGTCTCAGTCAGCCAGTCAGTAAACAAAGGCCCCACAGTCAGTCGTCAGTCAGTCAGTCCGCTTGGAACGGCATCGTTACCAACTGCTGTCTGTAGACACATTGGTTAAGTTCTTTATCGTCTCAATAAAACAAAACAACATCATGGTGACTTTTTTTATTCCTCCACGAACGAAGCGAATGATGTTGAAATGCATACATGAACAAATAAAAAGTGAATTATAAAAGGTTTTAATAAAATAAAATATTTGTATTCTGTCTTTTTATTATCTCTGAGCTAAAACAGAACCACTTCACTATAAGGGTTACATACTGAAACACCTGAGTAGCTATGTTGACGCTTAATGACTAAACGATATTGTATTTTTTTCACTAATACACTCTATTAAAAAAACTGATAGAACACATCAAAGTAACTAGAAAAATCATGTTTATTTCTCGACAAAATCCAATGGAAGAAAAATTCAGTGATTTTCCAAAATTAGATAAAATGGGAGACAGTACTGGGCGATAACTGTCAATGTCATATATTGTGACTTAAGCAGAGTACATTAGCTAATACGGATTATCTGTTTAGGTTGATTACCTACTTCCAAAAGACGATCGTTATTGTCTTATAAATCTCATAATGTTTACTTGTCGATAATTAATTATTGGATTTGTTAATCTTAAGCGCGCTAAAAGACTTTAGTTGTTGAAGCGTATTACTACATCATAACATCATTCAGCCTCTCAACATGAAATTTGGAATCTTGTGTTACACTGCGTTGATATAAAAAGAGCCAAGTATCGTTGCAATATTTTGATTGGGTTCAAAGTTATAAAGCTGATGCAATTCTTGTTTGGACAAAAATTATTGTTTTATACTCCAAATTTCATAAAGTATTATTGTAATGGTGTACTCCCCCCTCGTTAATTTTTTTGCCTTTACAATTTGAAACGCTGGGTGAAATACTTTGATATTTCTCTGGTGCATCGTTACATGTTGGCATGCGTCCACCCTTCATCGGTAGCATTTGGAAAAGAGATATAATATATATTCAGAATTCTTAATAGAGAACTTAAAAGTGATAATGAAGGACTAAAAGTTAATGACAAAGTAATATTAAATAACGTTATGCAGATGATACTGCTCTTACCACAGATAACGAAGAGGCATTACAAAAACTCGTTAACAAATAGTGGAAAAGGTGAAAATATGGTTTTAGGGTTAATGCCGTAAAGACTAAAGTAATGGCTGTTTCCAAATTTGAAATAAATCCTAAAAAAAATAGTGAACTGCGGCTCCCCAGTGTACGAGTGCTCGTATAAAAATTTCATAAACCATGGAGTCGTTGCAGCAGTCACCCATAATTCCACTGCCGTTTTCTATGGTGTGCAAACATCACGTCTCTTTCTTTTATCCTCTTCACCACTGACCGGCTCGTTAGCTGCTTGGGCGATCGGTCACGTCTCTGATTACTTTTCCTTTTCTTTTATCCTCTTCACCAAAAGATCGGCTCGTTAGCCGCTTGGGCGATCGGTCACGTCTCTGTTACGCACTGTTGGCAAGTACTGGGCATGCACTGGCTCCTGAATGTACCTGAACCCGCTCCAGTGTTGGTCAAGTCTTCTCTTGAAAGAGCTCACACTCGGTGCCGTCACAACACTTTCTGGCAGATTGTTCCAAGAGTTTACAACCCTCACTCCGAAAAAGTTTGCCATCACAGCTTTCTGGAATTGCGGCTTCTTCAATCTTGAGCTGTGTCACACGATCTGAGAAGACACGTGACAACCTTCGCCTTCCTCCGATCAAGGTCACTCAACCCGGTCAAAGAACAGGGGTAGTGGAAATCCACAGACTCCTTCTGGACCAGCACATAGAAGACATGCCATGCGTGGCACTAAGGGGGTTCTTCCTTCGTCGCCGGAACCTCAATGACCTACACCTCCGTCACGCCTACGATCATTTGGTGAGCATGAATCTAAGTAACGTATTAAAGAACACAAGGACAATTCCATGTGTCTTTATTTTTCCATTAATTCTGAGGTATAACTTGTCGATTCACTCACATACTGGAAACGATTTCTGTAGACGTGGCTTCCTGTTGCAGTCCCCCACTTGGAAAGTAATGCTCATACACTAGGGAGGCACATCCACCAACAATAGGCTTTTCAATCAACCCTTCAAAGCCTTTATTATGGTAGACAACAGGGAACTTAAAGAAGTTTGAAAGTTTGTGTATTTGGGAAGGAACAATTGCTGTGATGGCAGATGTATGGAAGAAATCTGAAAAAAATAGGGCAACCTAGCAAAACTAGCATTTAATAAACTGAAACACCTTATGAAAAGGGACATACCTTCAATTTGAGAAAAAGGCTGCTAAAAGCTTCATATGGCAAGGACTGATGTATGGATCAAGCGTGGACACTTTCAGCAGACACCAGAAAAAGGTTGGAGGCCTTTGAAATGTGGTATCACAGGCGAATGGTAAGCATAAATTATACTGACAGAAAAACAAACGAAGAATCAGTAAGATTAGCCAAAAAAAAAATCAAGGGAAATACTTGAAATGTACAGAAAAATAAAAATTTGACACTTTGGCCATTTAATTAGGGATGAGGGAATAATGACAGAAATATAAATAGGTAAAGTTGGGGGTAGAAGGGCCAGGGGAATGCAAGGACTGGTTGGAAGTACTAATGTACGCAGTACAACAGCTCGAGAATGTTTAGAGTGGAGACTGTGGTCGCCAACCCTCAGAGATGAGGAGGGTACTCCGAATGACGAGTGTGCAATATATATATATATATATATATATATATATATATATATATCTTGATAAAATCACACGGGAAAATGGGGATATGTAAATATTCCAAACAAAACTGTCCAAATATCTTAGCCTATTATTGTTTTAATTAGAAGCTTATGCTACTTTTATCCTCTTCGCCACTAATCGGCTCGTTAGCCGCTTGGGCCGTTGGTCACGTCTCTGTTACGCACTGTTGACAAGTGGTCTTGAAAGAGCTCACACTTGGTGCCATCACTTTCTGGCAGATTGTTCCAAGAGTTCACAATTCTCACTCCGAAAAAGTTTGCCCTCAGTGTTTTCTGGACTTGTGGCTCAGGGGTGGATCCCTTTTCATCAGAAAATTTCAATACTTTTATTTAATGCAGTATTGTACTCAGGCATTTTTGCAAAGTAAAAAAGTATTACTCAAGTGCACACGGCTTCAAAATGGCAAAATGCCCATGATATAAATCATTTAAAAAATTCTGGGGTTTACAGCCCCTAAAAAAAACGGGCCGCTATGCTCGCCATGTTCCCCCACCTACAACTTCTTGGACCCCCCTCTTGATATTCCTGGATCCGCCCTTGTCATCTTAAACCTCGAGCTGTGACCCCTTGTCCTCCAGCTCCAGGATGTACGTAACAATATATTCAACTGAGTGGTACTTGATGTTTTGGGTCTGCCCTGACTATATGTTTTTTTTTTTGTAACTATTGTCTTCTCGGAGTGTATATACTACATTTTTTTATTAACATTTGACATAATTTATTTTAGAGACTAGGAGAATAATGTGTTTTGTGCTACTGCTGTACTCCATAATTATGTAGTGCTATAAAAAGTTAACGAACAACTTAAATAGTAGGAAAACAGAGGGATCCGAAATTGTACTGTGACATAACAGTTTATTTCTTATAAATGACATCAGACAAATGGGCCCCAATTATTTCAGAAGTTTGTTGGAATTAAATTGAGTAAAGCCTCAGGAAGGTTAGGCACTATTGGTTTCATTATATAATCAGCAATTATTTAGTGCGACCTAAGGATATGTGGCTCCAATTTTCCCCGTTATTAATAGAATATACTGTAACTATTTGGAAACAGTTACTGTGTTACAAATTAAAGAATTTTGTGGGCGAGAAATTACGCCTTAATTTAACCTGACTGTTTGAAATTATCGTTTATAACAGCTGGAGCGAACTACTTTATTTGTTCCCGTAATTCATATTTCAGGATATATTATGGATTAAAAAATAAAAGAAATCGGAATATTATGATGAATAAGTATAACTATAAAATGGAGTTGTAGAAACTTCGACCTTATAATTACGGAAGAGGAAGCTCCCGCCAAACACCCTTGTTCGAATGTTCTAAGAAACAATAATAAATAAAAACAACAAAATCTCATGCATAGATCTTGAATATAGCAATTTAGATAATATAATATGAGTTATATTTTAATATATATATGTCTAAAATAAAAGAGAGTGGAAATAATCGTGGTATTAACTTTGGATTCTCGAAGAAGTTAAGGGAATCGGACGAGTGTCTCTAACAATCAAAACAGACGCCATATTGCTCGTCTTGTTTACCTTGTCCGTTAGTGTCTTTAGGAAGGTTTTTCCCTTCTATTATTACATCTTGGTATGCCTATCTCTTTAGTCTAAGGTAAGTTGTGTTCATAGTTTAAATTTGAACGTATGGATAGAGAGATTTTACTGATATATGACATGAATTAGATTATCTGACGAGTGAAATGACCCTCAGCTGTTACCCCAAAACGTACTGAAACTGAGAGAAATTGTATAATTTCTCTAAATGTTTTTTTTTTAATGAGTATTAGGATAATATATTGGTCATCAGTGTAAATATATGAATATCAGGATAAAAATTTATAAAAACGTGAAAATAAATTACAATTAACGAGTAACACAGTACCGTAATTGATGCCACAGACGGAAGGTTGTCAAGTATTACCTGCTGAAGCTGAGGCCCGTGACCTGCATAATTCTGTGTATTTAATTGTGAGAGAAGTTTCTATGTTTATAAACCAAAAAATTCAATAATATTGCTTTATTCTTGCTATTGTTCGGTAGAAATCAGATTTTAGATTGGCCACTGCAGTGCATTATTCAGTGTAATATGTCAGAAATTTCACGTTGATACTGAATTTACTTACTACATGTATACAAACAATGATAAACAGTAATTTGATTTAATAAGTGATAGATGAAAAAACTCTTTAAAGCTGTTTCATTGAAATGTTTAGGCAAATTACACGGAAGTGAGCATGCTTGGAACTACTGTATATTAATTTATGTATAGGGAAATACAAAGAAATATACTTTATATTATTTTTGCCAGAAATATGTACTGTATACTCAGTTTTTACCTTTTTATTTCACTTATAAAAATAAATTTTTCATTACACAAGGTGGACAGAGCTTTGACATTGTGGGAAATTGTGGGGTAAAAACAGTAACGGTAGATGAGATATTTATCACCAGAAAAAATTATGGAAATGCACCAATAATTGTGAAGATGTTCCATGCATAATACTAAGAAAAAATATGGAAACAAATAGCCTACATTACAGATCACAGCAAAATAGCTTGACAGGTTGTTTTGGGCTATTTTGCTGGTCCATTGTTTAAGTAATAGACAGAATTATATAATAGTTTTTGTTGCATTATGTAAAAAAAAAACGACCTATGATATTTATGTACAAAAAATAATATTTGTTATATTTAATTATCCTAAATTAGGGATAACTAGGAATAATATCTGTGGATATGGTATGTAATTGTGTAGCCGACTCACCACTCAGTAGAACACAGAGCTGAGGATCAGTAAATAGTTGAAGACATAATTTGGATACACTAGTATGGTGTTTTGTGTGTTTAAAGATAATTTCAGACAAAACTAGATGGTTTTCTTCTATGACACTTTAAGGGCATTTTACCCATAACCAAGATATTGTGAGTTGAAAATCAGAATACTACCGTACTAGGAAAATTCTAAGCTGTGGCGAGAAATACAGGGAGGTTTCTCTCACAAATGACCTAGAACAGAGATATTTAATATACTGGGGGTTACGGTTAGGAAGTTAGGTAGGTTTGGTTGGTTAGGATAACTAGTAATATGTGGTTGATAATACAATAAATTCTATTGTATTATTACTTCTATTACATAAACACTGGACCGACAAAATACCCCAAAACAGCCTGTCAGGCTATTTTGCTGTGACTGGTAATTTAGCCACTGCCATATGGAAACGACAATGCACAGAACCTGACCTAACGTACCCAACTCAACCAAACCTACCTAACCTTACCCTAACTTCCTAACCGAGCCCCCCAGACTCCCCGGCGAGTAAAGCAGAAATAACTTGTACCACCAAAATAATTTTTCTTGAAGCGGTATAGTTAATTTTTTGCTTTTTGTAGACGTAAGAGTTCGAGCATTTTTACAATGAAACAAATAATGCTGTTAACTGTAAGTTTTCTATTGCAATTTGAACACTTACTCATCCTCCCAAATAGTCCATGTTCACAGGTGAACTCATGCATATGGTCTTGATCCTCCACAAGCAGAGATTACTTGCTATGCAATAAATAACAAACTGAACACGACACCATAACTACATCAATGAAGTAAGAGAAAATTTTACTAAATTTAAATTGAGAATCAGTGATGAAGAGAATAAAGTAAACTTACAGCAGAGGTGTGTGTGAGGTGCATGTGTTTAAACTGAATAGGCCTAACTCATTAAGTAACAAAATATGCTACTGACAAACCTTCCACTGCCTCCACACATACATTCACCTCTGCCACACAGAATAAACACACCCATGCTCTTCGTTTTTCTTATTTTATACTTTTATATTATACAGGTAAAAAAAAAATTACCAGACCACCTGAGTAACGACATGAATCTTGGGGGAAAATCTAAAAGATATGTTTTTTATTTTGTGGGTCATTGTTATTGAGTTTACTTTGTGGAACAAAATGATCTCAAACAGAAAAATCTGGGTTGAATCATTGTTTGATGAAAACCAACAAACCAGGAAATCTGGTTTTGATGTCTGACGAGTATTTACATTTCAAGATGAAATTTGTCTGACATCAAAAATTATATACCTTTATTTTATTTGTGCTGTGGAATGGATGATAATTAGATGGGAATGAATTGATAAGTCTGATGATTAACTCACTGGTATATTTTACAATATTTTGTGAAATATAAAATCTGATTTACTAGTTCTTTCCAGATATGGACCGTGAATATGAAAGACGTCTATTGCGTCAACAAAATGGCCCCGTCACTTCTCCAACTTCACCTTTGTCGGTTTGTTTTATTTTTGTTTTGCTGCCTTTTCCTTGGTAAGTTTTTGTTCAATACAATATATGTACAGTACACCACTGTACTCCATTTAGGGTACATACAGCATCAGGTTCACTATTTGTATAGAATAAACATTTTATTGGTTTTGAATTTTTTGTGCCGTATGTTTTATTTTTAATGTAAATCCCACAATTACTCTTATTGGTTGCAGCCCCGTCGTCAGCTGACTCACATATCGGTCCAATCACCAAGTAAAGACCGCACGGGTGATAGATTTATTCCAACTCGTGCTGGAGCCAACTGGGACGTTAATTTCGCTCTTATTCAAGTAAGTGATTGATAAAAATTTATGGTGCTTGATTGTGTGGAAGTGAAAGTTGTTTGGGCACCATCATGTATTTAGCTGAAAGATGGTTGCTATTTGTTACACTTTGTAAAGCTAAAGATTGAGGGTGTGAATGAAATTTGCTTGAGAAAACCCTGTGATATTTACACTAACAGCTTTGAGTTTAGTTAATTATGATTTGCTATATCTTTTCAATTTCTTTGCTTGTGTAGCTCAATATTTATATTGGATTGAATTATTATTTAATTTGTTTCATCATTACAGGAAAATAATAAAGTAAATAATGAAGTGCGTAAAGGTCGTGAAGGAGGGGAAGGCAAGGATGGCGTTGCGTATACTACACTGTTACGCAATGAACTTCTAGGCACGGATATTGAGGATCTGAGAGACACTCCAGATGAAAGACGAGCACTCTCACCTGTTCAGAATCCTAATCTATACCATGTAAGTTAAGCTTCTTGTACATTAATATAAATCATATGCTATTTTTTATTTTGAAAGTTAACTGAATATAGTACAGTATTGTGGTACATTTGTCATACAGAACCTGGCAGTAAGTGCAACCTTATTCAAAACGCTCATGTTTCAGCTAAGTTAAGAAAGATTAATCGTATGTGTATGTGTTCATTTATGTGTTGATATTGATTTGATTTACTGTTTTTCTTGACAGTTTTCCCCTCGAAAGAATCACATGAGAGAAGATGCTCTTTCACCATATTCTTTGTCTCCTGTTAGTGCCAAGAGCCAAAAATTGTTACGGTCCCCAAGAAAAGCTGCACGGAAGATATCAAAAATCCCCTTTAAGGTATAGAAACATTGAATTGTAAGGTGGCTTCCTTCATTGAAGTGTGTGTATGTGTGTGTGTGTGCATGCGTGCATGCATGCGTGCTGAGGTGGAGTATTCATAGTTGAATGCATTTTATGCCAATAAGGATAGTCTATCAAGCTTTGCTCCCTGGACTGGATGTAAACATCTTGTGTTTATTGTTCGTGTCCATTTCTGTGAGAAAGCAGTACCTGTAATATGTTTTCCTTTTAAAGGGCTCCCAGAAAACACATTGATAAGCTTTACATGAAAGTTTTACAAACATATACAGTAAAAGCTTGAAAATCTGGACCTTGTAAGTCCAGATTTTGGATAGTCTGGACCCTTTCCGTGTAAGAAACATTTGTCCAAACTCATAAATATTTGTCAGTTGAAATCCCCACCATGTGCAGTCATATGAAATTGCTGTCAGAGAGCAATCCCTTGAGGCCTCTCTTCTACTCTCAGACCCATTAGTGAGCAGTTTTTCCCCCATTCTGAAAATAGACTCACCCATAATGCTGCACTGTGATTGGTTAGCTTTAAGTTCAACACATATTCTGAGGTGCTCCAGACCATCTCTTTATTTGCCAGAAATATTTTTTAAAAAGTCTGGAAAATCCAACAGTGGTCTGGACAGTTTGTGTGTTTGTATGTGCAGTTGAATGTCTGTGAGTGGGTGTCGCACAGGTCCTACCTTCATATATATTGTATTAGTGCACCATACTCTCTACCTGCACTTATTTACGTGAACTTTTTATGTAGATTACGTATTGTCTTTAATTGGAATACTGGAAAAATTTAAGAAATGGGTAAAATTGTGTAGAATACAGGTATCCCTCAAGATATGAACGGATTAAGTTAAAAAAAACAACAAATATCTTTAGGTGAATTTTCTTATCTCAAATTGAAAAACATGGGAAAAATAGGGTTTGGTTCCCCAATGACAAAAATACCCCAATATCATACCCCCTAAAACACTAAAACAGTTCACAAACAAGACAAAACTTACTTGTATATATGCATTTACTAGACAGGGCAAATTTATTTTTATATACTGTAGATACTATTTCACATTTCCCATCTTCAGTTAAATGGAAGAAGCTGAGAATGAATTATATAATTTGTTATGATTTACATTTTAATTTTTTTCTTTTCCTTCAGGTCTTAGATGCACCTGAACTTCAAGATGATTTTTACCTCAACCTTGTTGACTGGAGTTCTCAGAATGTTTTATCTGTGGGTCTGGGACACTGTGTTTATCTGTGGTCAGCTTATACCTCACAAGTTACTAGACTCTGTGACTTATCTCTGGATAATGATTCTGTAACATCCGTCTCCTGGTCAGAAAGGGTAAGTTTTTTCGGTAATAAAGCTTCAACATGACAACTATGAATCCCAAATCTCTCCCTCTAGAAAGTCTGTTGGAGTTCCATGTACTGTTGTAAGTTAATGGTTTGAGATATACTTGGAAGTCAGCCAGTATTACTTGATATCAGCATTGCTGTTTTGTATATGTTTGGAAGGGAATGTGCTTGAGTGAGAATGGGTGACTGAGATGAGGTTAAATCAGTTTCAGGTTAATAGGATCTCAACCCAAATAGACCTAAACCTAACTTGACTATTAAGATTAGGTCCCTTTAGGATTAGGACTGGACCCCAATACAGAGGGTCAGTTTAGCTTGGGACATGTTAATCCCTGGCATACATAACATACAACTGTTGGAATATAATTCTCGTGGGATGCTTTGTGGAAGCTTCTGGCAACTGTCCCGAGGCAGTATAGGCCTCTCATCCATTAGTAATGAATAGACCATGGCTGAGTCAAGATGTACTGCATTTGTTTGTGTGTAGCCTTCCCCTGAAGGAAGAAATTTATGTTGTTATAATTGATCCTGGAGACAAAGGTGACCCTCCCATAAATAGTGAATGTGATGCAAGTAAAGTTAGTAGCTTTCCTCAAGGTTGAACTAGTGACTGTAGTAAATCTAAGGAGGATTTGAGTGTAAAGGATGAAGAATATGCTAGTGCTGTTTGGGTAGGTTCCACCCCTACCTCTGACATTCCCCCCATCCAGTAGGCAATGACCATAAGCTACCATTACTGTCCTCAAATGGGTAAGACTTAGGCACCAGTGACATTGTAGGTTCTAACTTGTTGGTAGTTGCTTGGGTTGGAACACCCTTACCGGCTCAGTTAAATTACATGATATGTTTAAATACATCACTACAGACTAGTACAAGGTGCATGGTTGACAGTAGAAGTATAAGAACATTATTGCTATCATTTAAAGAATTATATTTGATATACTCTATTCAAATTATTAATTGGAATTGAACTTCAATAATATGAGATCAATGCCTTTTTCATGTCACAGCAGTTTCAGGATAGATATATATTAATTTCCAAATACAGTACCAAAAAAGCAGGAAATTGAATAGTTATTCCTTTTTCCACTATTTTTTGGGTGGAAAAAATTGATTTAATCAAGTGATTAAATAAATGCCAACCCTGTTGTGCATAATGTTTTTGTTTTTGTTTTCTTCAGGGAAATCAAGTTGCTGTAGGAACACACAAAGGTCTTGTTCAGGTTTGGGATGTTGCTAGTAGTAAACGAGTTTGTGTTCTTAATGGGCACACTGCACGTGTAGGAGCTCTAGCGTGGAATGGAGATGTTTTATCATCAGGTTCCAGAGATCGGCTCATCCTACAAAGAGATGTGAGAACACCTTGTATCATCCCGGACAGAAGGCTAGTAGGACACAGACAAGAGGTAGGAAATTCTGTTCCTATGACTAATAGAGGAAAATAAAAAATTATGTAATACCAGAGACTAAAATTTTCACAGTTGAATATAAATAAAGAATTGTAAATAAAGAAACAGTTTGCTGGCAGAATTGTGAAATTGTTACTGACCCATTCTATATGGTTATAATTGGTAGGAGGCAATTGGAGCTGATTAATATTGTTTTATATTTGCTTGCCATTTTGTGATTTCCACTCCAATGATGATTTTTCCTCTGTGCAGGTGTGTGGGTTAAAATGGTCTCCTGATAGTCAATATTTAGCATCTGGTGGGAATGACAATAAACTTTTTGTGTGGAATCTACACTCACTTACCGCAGTCCAGACCTACACAGAACACAATGCAGCAGTTAAAGGTGAGTGTTTGGCTCTTGTTACCTGGATCCTTCAGCAATGGCCATGTACTTTTTGTATGTGTATCAGATATTGAAGTATTTATACTTATTTCCATTCCACGAGTATTTCTGTACCACTCTTACCTGTTGTCTGTATTATCTCTCATGAAATTTCTGGAACTTTTACTAATTAAAAATTGACACTATTACCAAACTCAAAAGTAAGATTCAACTTATTTGTATGTGACATTGTCTGATGCTTATAATAATCCATTTTGTTACTGTATTTACTCATGCATGCATGGAAGCACACACACACAAGAATAGATACCATAATACAAGTTCAGTGATTTGTTTTATTATAATAATCTGTTATTTTATAGAATTTGGTGAAAGTTATTTTTTATACTACTGTACAGTAACTAAAAAAGTATCTGTGCATACATTGTGTGAAACAATGTGATACAATGGACGATAGGTATTGGGATAGGCATGATGTCTCCTTATACCATGTGAAAGTAATCACTTAACTGTACAATTTTACTTTTGTTCAAAGAAATGTATATATTCCCTTTATGTGTTTACCCTTTGGACAATTATTTCTTTTACCTGTACGGTATTGTACTTATATATATGTGTGTGTGTATGTTTACACAAACACTCATATATACAATACAGGTAAAATAAATTACAGTCTCTTGAATGAACAGATCCCTGTCCCAGTTTAAAAAATGCCAGCAACTTTAAAACTACCCTAAGACTTTCTTGGGTACATCCAGGGTGTCATCCGCAAATAATTGAGGTCCATGAATTAAAAATCGGTGAATTGTCAGGGCATGCTGTACCTGTAAATACACAAAAATCTGTATGCATGGCCTATAATAGAGCAGTGCACAGGTCAAAAATAGACTTTTGAGAACTCACAAGTCCAAGTATCACTTGTTTAGCTTTAATTTGCTTTAATGATCAATTTTTTGGGGCTCATTCTCACTTAACGTTAGGCCAAGATTCAGTGTAACGATAGCTTAACTCACTGGGAAGGGGATATCCCTCTTAGCTGGAATAATTGGAGGTATTTTGGGGACATGAGGCTTAAATCGAGCGGAGTATGACATCGGAGTCAGCGACATGGCTGGCAGACGTATGAGAGTGCCCGGTAACACCAGCTGATGGGTGACTGTCTGAGTACAGCTGTACTGAGAGCCAGTACCTAACTATCAAGAGCATACGAGAGTCCGAGGAAAAATGGACTTTTTTCCACGTGTTAAAATCCTAAGCGGCTAAAAAAAAAAAGAGTAGGTTTAGTGTTGTAAGGTATCTTGAGTCGTAAATCCCACATCCTCTCAAATTATCCACCTTGCACTATAGACAATACAGACCCGCTCAACCCGGAATTTTGGCCAAACTGGACAGGCCTTACCCCCAATTAATCCAGATTAGAGGAAGTTTACTGTATAGTGGATTTTGGTACAGTATACTGTATAGAAGTTCAGTATAGAGAGGTAATAGTGTAGATTATATTTAAGGTTTTGGTTTAGGTGAAAGGACAGGGTGAAAGCGTTTAATGAGGTGGACAGGTGTGCTGTGGGAAGCATCATTAATTTCCATAGTCTTGATCACCGCTGCAGAAGATTCATGTGTTAGTGATAGACCATTAAAAGTATGACATGTATTTTTATTGTTATAGAACAAACTTCATTGAGAATTTCATGTTGTCATCTTATACATACAATTTTACTGACAGCTATTGCCTGGTCGCCACATCATCATGGGTTACTCGCCAGTGGAGGAGGGACAGCTGATCGCTGTATACGTTTTTGGAATACATTAACGGGTCAGCCTATGCAGTGTGTGGACACTGGTTCTCAAGTTTGTAATTTGGCATGGTCGAAACATGCCTCTGAACTGGTAAGTTTGGATTATCTTAAAGTAATTGCATTATTAAGTGCACCACTTCACAAGGTAACAGCATTGACAGTCTCTGAGATTTGATTTTAATCATTGACTATAAAGGGTTAAGAAGTTGAAATGTGTTGTAGTTGGACGGACACAGATTTTTTTTTTTTTTTTGTTAAGGGACCAATAGTGTATGCAAATTTGTCATATAATCTAAGCCAATAGTGACAGTGAGAAGGCCTATACTGTGTCGTGTTATTTTGAAGCGTTTTCTCAGTCAGACCAGTTTGCTTGCTTTATAAAAAGTTGTAACAGTTATCTAATGCTGTGCCGCATTATAGTGGTTTAAAATGTTTTATTTCTGGGATTGGAAAAACCATAAAATTGTCAAAGTTCTAGGCACAGTGATGGGCTGGATGTGGCCTGCAGGCTGTATTTTGTCCAATCTTGGTCTAGGAACTCTTCACTTCCATCCTCTTCTAGTAGTGATTCTGCAGGGGTTACATTAACCTCTTTGTTTTGTTTTATGTCTCATACTTCAAATGCCTTAGAGTGGAGTAGCCACTTCTAACGTGTAAGTTTAGAGGAGTTGTGGGAGGCTACAAAAACACCTTCAGAAGGGCAAAGTCATAGGTCAGGGGGAAACTGTAGCAGGTAGATCTTCCTGGTTTCATTATATTGATGAAATAGTGTTTTAGTGAAAATATGACCCATGGGCTTCCAAAGAACTCTGTACCACCATTAGGTTTCAAGTTAATTGGAATAGTAGGCTGTGTGTAATTAATCTCTGGATGTAGGGTGTGGAGAAACTTTATAATTTATTTGAATGGTTGTTGTCTCACACATGAATGAGAGACTATAAGTGCATAGAAACCTTTAGTTGGTACAGGACGTAAATTATGTAAATTAAAAATAAACACCTAAGTGCGACCAGTTGCATAAAGTGTAGAAACGATTAATAAATATCTCAGGTTATTCAGAGATTAGCTTTTGCATGTTCAAAAGGGGTTCTCAAAGAGACACAAGAGAATTATGACCTACATTGTTAAGTAAGTATTTTCTTGACAATAGTTTCAGATTACTTTGAGGCTTCAAGTGGGCTGCTCCTTTAGGTAAAAGATGTGATATCTGTCTGTTAATTTTAAGGACGCTGGTCGTTCTTATAAATTGAAGTTAACCATTATTTAATATACCTGTAGAAATAATATCAGTAATGATCTTAATTTAGGCTTGAAAAGAGCTTGGAGGATCTTTAGATAAAATCTTCAGGAAAAAAGTGGTCTTCTGCATTGACAGATTGGATGATTGATTCTTTGAGACCATGAGACAATCTTGGGGGATGTTCTTTACCGGGCTGGCTACTTGATGAACAAAGAGTGAAATGGCACGCTGCAAGAGCAATACATGTACACACATTATCTCTTGTTTGATGTCTTTTATTCCTGTTAAAGATGTGTTCTGCTTCTGTACTACTCGCCTTATTACTTCACACACGTCTGCATCACCTACAGTATTAGCAGCTCATCCTTCACCAAAATCTCTTGAGGCCTTGCTCTCCACTCTTTTACAAGCTGCTATTTATTTATAGAATATCCTTATAGAGTGTGAGTTTATAGAAAAATGGCAAATATCTAACATGTACTTTTCTTTCAGGTCTCCACTCATGGTTATAGCCAGAACCAAATTTTAGTATGGCGATACCCATCGTTAGCACAAGTGGCCAAGCTGACTGGCCACACGTACAGGGTACTTTACTTGGCTATGTCACCGGATGGGGAGGCGATTGTTACTGGTGCAGGAGATGAAACTCTCCGATTTTGGAATGTTTTCAGTAAAGCTCGATCTCAAAAGGTCGGTAATATTTATGTATTGTATTATGTATACACAGTAAATCTTCTCAATAACCCATTAACAGAGCATCTAGGAGCAAAAATGCTCTTGATGATTCCTGATGTTTGAATAACCATACTCGTAAAATAATTTATTAATGGAGGCTGCTTTGGCTTCACTAAGGTTTTTTATTTTGCACAGGGCATAATCTTATTTGCTATCAACATAAAATGTACTGATAAAAATTTATGGTAATTTTGGATTGTCATACACATACATACTTGTAAAATTGATTGTTTCTTCTTTCTTTACAGGAGTCCAAATCAGTACTGAATCTTTTTACTTCCCTGCGATAGTTGCGTTGGAGATGGAGAAATTCAAATGGTGTTCTGTGCTTTGTAAATAGTGGGTTCAACAGGTGGTGTGTGTTTGTATGGTCAGTCAACTTTTTATATATATATATGTATATTTATCAAGTGTAGTATAATGTATATACTTTAAGAATGTTGTAGATCTTTACCAATCAGTTCGTCTTTACATGGATCTATTTTTATTATTTTCAAGTACTATTATTCATTGTTCTGTATTCTCAAATTATTCTCTTATTTTCTCCCTTCTCCAAATTGTTTATCAGTTTGTTTTAAGAGAAATATTTTCATATGTTCTCTCTTTCTCTCTCCTTTTTTTTTATCTGTTTTGTTTTGAGAACTTGAAGATTTTCAAGTGTTGGGCTTTGGGGGTTTGACCACACAATGTCACTTGTTTGCTGGTAGATGGGTTTGTTATTTTGTTGTTAGCCAAAAAAATATACTCATTATTTTCCATGACAGTCACTAGAAAAAAATTTATTTTTTCATCATGATGTAACTTATAGCCACCTGGTGTATTGTGGATCATTGTTTACCAGAGTGAAGAGATATTTTGGCATGTGGACCCTAAGAGAAGGTTATAGTTGGACAGCCACTCGCCACCCAAAAGGGTAGAGGTGATTTTTTTTTACTTATATATATATATCTTGAATGTAAAGTCCTGCTGTCTTTAAGGTCATTTCAGCTACAGACTTGTAAACCATTATTTGCTTCTGTATGAAGAGTAATACTAGTTAGTAGTTTTTTTTTTATTCTAAGAGATATACAAACGATAGAGGGGAAAGTGTACCCAGAAGTGTGGACATGTGAATTGTTGGTTTTTGTAATCATCTAAAAATTCATACTAGAGTATTCTCCAGGATTTTTGTATTACTAGACTAGAAGATTTTATATTAGGCAGCTCAAATAGGCATCAGATGTCATGTTGGTTTTTAGTTGTGATCACTTAAGTTTTCAGAAAGCTTAAGGTACATGTGATGTGAAAATTCAAGTGTCATATGCCGGTATATTTTGTAAGTCGATCTATCACCTTATCCTGAGTCAGGGCAATGAATAGAGTACACAGAGAGGCTATGAAGGTGAAAACTTAAATGTTCATGATGTTATACAGTTGTGAATTATTGTCATCCACTGAGCATTATTCCATCATTTTAATGCAACACTTCAAGACTGGATGAGTCTAAAGATACTTGCATGTATAAACGTGCTACATGGAAATTACATAACTTAGCATTGGATTCTAGTGATGCTACTCTATCTACATAACACATTAGGTGATTCACTACTACTGAATACATGTTGTATGTGAAAAAAAATTTCCCAGTGTATACCAGTACTAATTTATGTTAATGTGCCCTTCCAACTTCATAGTGAGACTCCCATTATGAATGGTTCATCCCAGTTTGGTACCTGTTATCGTAACATGTATGGCATTCAAGTAGCTATAGTACCTTCCACTCACCTCAGAGGGTAGGACAGTTAACTTGCAAAGAGTTGTTATCATCTTTCACTTTTGTATTGCCTTATAGGCCTTGTTGAGGCTCCTTTATTCAAATTTTGTATATTATTTAAATCTTTAGAAAATTTGTACTATTTCAGTGTATCAGTGAAAAATACTTGAATATATGAGCTATTTAGAAAATTGGTATTTTTTTTATCCTAAATTGCTTAAGTTTAAAGTGTAATTCAACACTGTAATAGTTTGTGTGTGAAGAATGATCTTGATTGACACTTAATAAATTATAAACCATTGGAAACAGTTTAAAATTTTTATTACAACAAAATTGAAGTAGATAATATAATCCATTTGTTGCTTTTGCATTCCTTAAAGATAAATTGCATCTGTTAGATTTGACTCGAACATGACATTTCTCAAATTGATAGAGTTATGCGTTACTAACAATGTTTTTAGTGCAACTGAAAAATTTTATAAACAAATATTTGGCATGAGCATGGGTAATTGTCTTTGTGCTCCTTTAGCCTGTATTTACATAGAGTTTTTTGAAGCTGGATTACTACCCAACAAAGGTGACTTTATTCCTCTATGATATAAATATTGTTACGACCATGTCGTATTTTTCTATTATTTTTTATAACATGCTTCCATGTTCCATATTATTCCTGTAATGATGTGTTATATTTATTATTATATGTTCTAATTACCATACCCTGTGCTGTTAAGGTTCTAACTGTTATTATTTGTTCAAGCCCATCTTATTTCTTCATTTAGTATTGTAACAAGCATTCTTTGTTTCTCTAACGACCATCTGCATCGTTAAACAACCCATGTTTCACCAGCGTGTCGCACTGGCGGGAGCCGACCTTACGTATATATAGTACTCCACCAGCAGACGGAGTTCAGTCCAGTCCTCTTGTCATTCAGTTCAAGTTCTGTTGAGTGACACCCATCACCTGTTACTTATACTTTATTTTATTTCTGTGTTGTTCCTGTTGCCACCAATGTGGTATATCTATGTGAGTACCTATTCATGTCTCTTATGTGTCCATCAGCGCTTGCTTAGTTACATTTAAGTAATTCAGTGTTGTTTCACGATAGTTAATTTCAGTGTTAACGTAATCCAGTGCTTTATTTTTATATGTTTAAGCAGTTCTTTTGATGTTTCGATGTTTTAGTATCATTTGTGACTTAAAAGTTTCGATAGTGAATCAATTTGTTGTGACAGCATACGAGGCTCTTTATTGTGTTAGTATTTAATTTAATTCAATTCTTAAAGGTTTACTTTATTTATTTTTATTCCCTTTTGATTTACTTAACTTTTTTTGTTTGGTTACGCCTAGAACCTGGATATTAAAGTAAATTAAGAGACGGCGTAACAATATGTAGATGATGTTCTTTGTCTATGGCCTATAAACAGTGACCCACTGGAATTTTTGGACAAGCTTAATGACCATGTCCCTATTATTACCTTCAAAATTTAAAGAGAAATAAATGGATCCTTTCCATTTATTGATATGCTTATCATGGGAAATGGTCATAATTATAAATTTAAGGTGTACAGAAAGGCTACACAGATACTGTAGACAGTTTCATACATTTTTGATCGAGTCACCATGAGTACCAAAATGTGTTTTTTCTGCCATGTTTTGAAATGTTTGCAAATTTGTGATTCTTAATTAAATTAAGGAAGAACTGCAACACATTCAGTTCATTGTACAAAATCATGGCTATCCTTTATTGTTTGTTGATCGCTGTCTTAAAAGGGCCAAAAATTCCTTTATTCTATTCATAATAGACAAGTTCCTACATTAAAGAATATTTTGAGTGGTAGTAGGTACTACCGTCTAGGAAGATATTGGAAGCATAATGTGTTATCTAATGGTAGACCCTGCTGCCTTATTTATGCACAATTGCAGGGTCTCAATTGTTCTCTTACTTTGACAAAACAACATACATATATCATTTCTCACTATTGACCCTTTTTAGTGTTATTGTCCATTATTATTAGTATTAGTATTATTACACTATTATTATTATTAGTATTAGTATTATTATTATTATACTTCTATTTAATATATATATATATATTTTTTATTTATTATTAGTATTAGTATTATTATAATTATAATTTTATTTTCGCCCACCAGGTCCTGATGTGGGCCATTGACCTGTGCCCTAGCAGGCTAATCCTGTACAAAATAAAAAATAAATTGTCCCGTTAGTTCAATCCCTCAGTAAAAATCTAAGCGCCATTGAAAACTTTGGGCAAACACAGGAACACAACCGACCAGCCAGGCTTATGTTAAAAATATACTGAAAGAAGAAAGCTGAAAAATTATCATGTGTTATGTTGATGAACCCAACTTAATATATTCCAATAATAACAGAGTACCTTTACCTGAATCATATCAGTTTTGATTAATTTATTTTAGGTAAAAAAATAAATATGTTACAGTATGTTCGTGGTTATAATATTAACATTGATCACCCATCACAACACCCCAGCCCCAGCATCACCTGTGTGTGGAGTGACATATTAAGACACGCCTAGATACTAACTACCCTATTGGACTGAGATAACAATAATGAAAAGCTTTAGACCCACTTGTGCTGTGTTATGAGTGACTGTTGTGGTCACATTTACTTGGTGGCTGCCCCTCCACTTTGAAAAAATTACAGAAATTTACCTCGTTTTAGGTTTAAGGTAAGAGTTTGGTACTGATACTGGTTAAGATTCGGAAAAAAAACACATAACTTTATATTGATATTTATAAAGAAGTGGATACAATTACACCAGGTTAGGTTAAATAAGGTTAGTCGTAATTATATAGGACTAACCCGCGAACACAATTGATTTAATTTTTGTTTTAAAACACCGGATTTTCACTGTCATATTATTGTACAGTATAAAAGCTCTTAGTGCCTTCATACTGCCTGCCAAATGGGGTAATCTAGTGTGTTGGGACAATAGATGTTCCGGTAAGTTGAATATTTATATATAATTTTTCGGTGGCTTTTGCCCAAGCCCAAATGCTGCATAAGTGAATTCCATGAAACTCAAGTTGTATTCTATACCCAGTAAATGATTAATATAATTTATTTATTCTAGAACAGCCATCTATCAATTTTAAGATACAAATGCCTGTAATCATTTGAAACACGAGTCTGCATAGAAGATGACACATCCTATGTAAGCAAAGTAGAAAAAATCATGTTAAAAAAATATACTGTAGTATAAAAAGATGCGAACAAGGAATGAAAAAAAAAGATGTAGCTAAATGCAACGTTCTGAATTAAGTCATAGAAATTTGAATGTTTCAGTGGATTGACATGAAATGAGAATGTTTTGAAATGATGAAATGATAAGATTAGGGAAAAGTTTCTGGTGATATGCTGTCAGAGAAATTCTGGTGTAATTTTAGCTACAGTATCTATTTGTATGTATGGCTAAGAATATTTATTAAAATTTGGGAAGAATTATGTGTGTGCAGTACTGTCCAGTACAGCACACTTCCGTCTTTGAAAGAGAACTGATCGCTTCACCCATGTCGTGTCACTCGCGATTATGACATCTGATAACCCTTGGATTAGTGACGCTTCACTGAGCATGACACGAGCATAGCGAGCCAGGCGCAGTGAGCCAGGAATAGGCAAATATTGTAAAAAAAAGTCTTTCTCCCATACAATTGTTCTAATCGCATGGAAATAAATTTGTCACCTTTTTTTTTACAAATAACAGACAAAACACTAAAATAAGACAATATAGGTATAATTCAACAACATAGGCAATATTTCACTTGTATGTCAAAAAAAAAGGAAAATATAGGCATATATGGCATTTTGCCTGAACATCCGGGTTCTAGTAATAACGATTTGTTTTCATTTGCCAGATTGTATGGCAGCCGTCCTGTCCAGACCGCAGCAACTATGAACAGTAGAGTCAAGGCAGAAACTCAAGCTACAGTGTACCAAAGAGTCTCCCTCTGTTGTTAGGACTCCCAGGTCACCCATTGTGCAGCTCATGTTCACCCTAATATTACTACAATTCCAACATCCTGGCAGTTATTCTCTGATTTTTTTTTTCTATATTTGCCTCAAAAGATGATGTTTATGGCTCATGAGAAATTTTGGGGCAAAATGAGATTCAAAATTATCAGGCAATACAAAAATATTATTTAATATCTCTTACTGAATTACAAATTTTATTTTCTTGTTTTCATAGCTGGTGGACAGCACATGCAGTATCAGATCTTTGGTAGCTGATGATTCACACATCTTCTTTGCAGCAATACAGTATTAATTTTGTTTTTCATAATGTAAGTTGAAATTTGAAATAAATGGGTACTCTGGAGATACCCTATTTTGTTTTTTTAAATATCTCAGGATTTTGTGTACTAAATTAGTGATATTCTGTAAACTTAAGTAAAAGTTTCCTTATTTAGAATGGTCACAAACACAAGAAGCCTCTGTAGTGTTCAGAATGTATTTTATCCTTTAGAAGAAAAAGGAAGTTTAATTGTTACAATCAGAAGATATGCTTGTTTAGTGGTAAAGAGGTACCGTACTGTATTAATTCCTGCAGGTGAAAATATTCATTTAGAAATATGGAGAATGACACTGCAGTGAGGCCATTTCAGTGTTCAGAATGTAGTAAAAGCTATAACTCTAAAAAGAGCTTATGGAAGCATATGGTAGTGCACAGAGGAGAAACACATCAGTGTTCAGTATGTTTTAAATCTTTTCCACAGAAATATAGACTTATAGAACATGGGAGAGTTCACACCAAAGAGAAACCATACCAGTGTTCCATATGCAATAAAGCTTATCGGCAAAATTGCAGTCTGGTTAATCACATGATAGTTCATACTGGTGAGAACCCATTCCAGTGTTCAAAGTGTAACAAGTCATTTGGCTTGAAAAGTTATCTAATGAAACACATGTCAGTTCACTCACCAATTCAGTGTTCAGTGTGTCAAAAATCCTTTGTCCGAAAAGAGAACTTAAAGAAGCACATGAGTGTTCACACGGGAGAGAAAATATACCTGTATCATTGTTCAAATTGTAACAAAGCTTTTAATAAGAAAGGGAGTATGTTAGATCATATGAGAGTTCACACAGGTGAGAAGCCTTTTCAGTGTTTACAGTGTAATAAGTCTTTTAGTCTGAAGTCTAATTTATTAAGGCATGTAACTTTGCACACTAAAGCTAAGCCGTTCCAGTGTTCAGAATGCAATGAATTCTTTAGCCTCAAGAGTTACCTAGTAAAGCATATGAGGATTCACACTGGTGAGAAACCATACCATTGTTCTGAATGTAATAGATCTTTCTCACAGAAAGGAACTCTAATAGAACATATAAGAATTCATACGGGTGAAAAACCTTTTGAGTGTCCAGAGTGCAGCAAAACCTTTCATCGTAAGAGAACCTTTGTAGAGCATATGTCAGTTCATCAAGGAGAGAGAAAGTTATTTTATGAAAATAATGCTATGAATTATCAGATATTGTGCACATCACCTCAAACTGAAGGTAGCTATGACCAGTCTTCCCCGTGTGATATGGAAACATCTTTGAAGCAGACAAATAGTGATCCTATGATAAATTCTTCAGCAGAGGTAATAGACTGCTCTGTGGCAGGAATTAAAGGGGAAATATTTGACCCAGACTCCATCATATCAATGACAGAAGATCCACTGAAGGTGGACTCACATCTCCAGAGTGACATAAAGATGGAGAACCATGAAGAGAACTGTGTCATCATCAAGGAGGAAGAGTTAGGAAATTATTGTTAAAAAAGGTTACTGTATTTGTGCATCAGCCTTGTTTATTTCTTATCACGTGTGCTAATGACTGTAATCCCGTCCTTTTTTATATTATTTTTTATTTTTCACTCATTTTGTCTGATGGCAAATATATGCAATTATTATGATATTTTCCATATAACTTATGCTTTTCTTATATTTGTTTTGGAAACTTAAAGGTCTACAGATTGAAAACTCCAATGTTGATTCAAGTTATTAGGATCCAGGATGCTGACAACTTTATAAATATGTAGAGAAGATTACACCATATACTGTAGAAAGTTGGAATTATATCAATGAAAAAAAAAGTCTGTGGGAGTATCATATGACGAATACTGTACATGGATCTCCTGAGGATTAACCCCAACTTATTTCATCTAATCTCACCTGTAATGTAAAGGTGTTAATCCATCAGCTGAAATAAGCTGGAGGAATTAAACTTCAGGTGATCCAAATACTGTATACAATTGACCACAGTATTTTGCCATATAACTGAGCCCTCTGATATTTATAGCAAATATGTTGTCCTTCAAAAATACTAATAAACAAAATGGAAGATCTGGCTTGTTTGGCGCATCATCCTTCTGATTTGTTTTATTGCCATCATCGGCCCGAGTTGACTGATACAGTACATGGCATCTTGACTATTAATACCACTTTCATAGTACTGTACAGTGGTCAGGCCTGGACCGAGGGGGGGTGGGCTTGATGGTCACGTATCCCACTTGAGCACATGTAAATTTGCCCTTGTGGTCGTGAAACATGGGTCCATATACAGGGGCCTGACAGTATTATTTTATAGCCCAAATAATTTAAACATTCAGTGAGGATACACACTGCCAAATTGAGATGTTAGTTAATTCACCATTAACAAAGTCCAAAGTTAGTGCTGCAGACCTCTAGCAACATAGTGGAACAGAGTATCGCCAAGAGTCTATGGCTCATTATGCTTCTTTCGTCAGTATTATGGAACAGCACCAGTTCAACATTTTGCAACAAGCCAGGTTCAGGATGGCAGCTCATATCAAGGAGAAATAATGTAAGCTCAGTCGATTTTGGAAACGGTTATCTTATGTGGCCGACAGAATGTTGCTCTCCATGGAACAGTACTGATGAAGTGGATTACCTCTCCAGAAAACAATCGTGGTAATGTTCTTGCTCTGCTAGATTTTTCTTGTAGCATCTTTCTGAATCATCTCTTGCTGATCATTTCAAGCATGGTTCTAATGCTACAAACAAGTATAAAGGGATTCAGACTGACCTCTTCCATGAGTGTGCAAGATATATTCACAAACAACTAATCTCAGAAGTGAAAATGGCAGGGTTCTTTTGCATTGTTGCAGACGAGGTGACCGGTGTCTCCATCAAAGAACAGATGTCATTGATGCTAATGTCTTATGATGAGGTAAATATTCGGGAATGTTTTATGGAATTCATCAGTGTTATAAGGTTGACAAATGTTATACAGTGTTTATAATAATGTGTCATTTGTATTCAACAAATTGTGCAGTTAACCCAAAAATCATAATCGTTATCAAAAATTAAAAAAAAAACCGCACAATTAGTTGAGTTACATTACAATAAGCAAATTATTTATGGAAATTGCTAAATTAACTAATATACTGACAGTGCACAGTAAATTTTTATGACAAGTAGTCATCAAGTGCATGTGTATTCCGAATAGGCTAACATTTTATCTCCATTTAGTACTGTTGCTTTACAACTACTGTATAATTAAGACATATATTGTACATAAATTATGTACTGTGTATTGTCTAGCTATTAAAATGTGCATGGGCATGATAACAGTATTTTTCTTACCTAAAATTGGATTTAATGGAATAAAAACACATAACTTGTGAATTACAGTAGGAGTGCAACCAAACATAACCTAACCAAATTTTAACTTATCCTAATCTAATTTAACCTAACCTAACCTACCCAAATCTAACTTAATTTATTGTGACCAAACCTAACTTTTCCTAATCTAACCTAACCTGATCTAACTTAACCTAACCAAACCTAATCTAACATATGCTAATCTAAAGTAACCAAACCAATATACTGTACTAGAGTTCCAAATAATCCTGAAATCCATTTATTCTTATAAATTTTTTGCTGATAATCTATAACGTAAAATTCATTAAACAAAAATTGATTAAAATTCCATTGTGACCTTTTTTTTTATTAAAATTTCAATATCTTAGATTAATTTCTTTAATATAACTGTCCTGAATTAACTACATGATAATCATTCTGTACAGTTAATAATAATAATAATAATAATAATAATATTTAATCTCATTCAAAGCTATTTAAGTTCCGTATTTAAACCCATTCAAGAACTGTTTATTTACATCTATTTTCTATGTTGAGTTGTTGTGATAAAAGAAAATGGAACTTCTTATGGTAGGATTGCTTTATTTATCATGGTTGTAAGCTAGAGCACTGGGTCTTTTCTCACATTTCCACCACAATTTGGTTTTACAAGTGACAAACTTAGTATACATGAACTTATTGCAGAAAATTTTGAAATACGCTTATATGTTCATAATTTCCATGGCAGTAGGGGTAAATTATAAATAAATGAATAAAACCACTCCTATATTCGTTTTTGCTTTTATACTCATTTGTGAATAATCATATTAACGAATATTATATAGTTTATAATTATATGCCATATTGTACTAGAGTCGGACAAATTGTTCAGTTACCCAAATATCATACTAGTCATTAAAATTTGAATAAAAGAACCCACAATTAGTTAAGTTACGTACAACAAGCAAATTATTTCTGAAAATTGCCTATTTAACTAACTGTAAAGTAATGCATAGTAAGGTATACAGTACACGGTTCCTCTGTGGTGTGAACATAATGCCAGAGGAATTGTCAAAAGTACCGGCCGCTGTGGGAACGTTAAAGAACAAAAAGTTCACCTAAAAACAAGGATTGCGGGAGAAAGAATATTTCTAATTTTCCGGAAGGATGTGAGTGCGCCCCTCCCCCCTTGCACCCCTCTGCGAACGCCCATGATTACCTGGCAGGTGCTTTAATGAAGTTACTGGAAATTAACTGCTATTAAAACGTATTTATGTGTATCCTGCTTAATGTGCATGTTTGAATACAGTTTGTGCTTGTTGTCAGCATGTGTGTGGGTTTTTTCATGTGTGCCGAAGTGTAGTCCGATTTATGAAAATGCCATGTGTGTATATACTCCTCTGTGTGTATACCTGGTCTTCCTTTTCTCGTCTCATGTCTGTGCAGTACGTCCAGGTATGTGAATGGGGAGTTCATATTTCTATTTATGCCGTTTTATGTTCACTTATAAGATATTGTCTTAAAGTGTGTGTATTGGTCATCCATACATAGGCTATGTATGCATCTCCATGTATGTTTGTGTATTTTCATGTACTGTATCGGTATGTACTCCCATATTCGTATATTTCCGAAAGTGTGTTCTTTTTATGTGTACTTCCCCCCCCCCCTCCACCCACCCACGAGTGTGGGTGAACCATGAGTCATGAGCTTCCGGTTCTCTCTTGGTCTACTCACTAGTTACTGCTGGTGTTTCCTGGTCTCGAGCTTCTCAGAGGACCGTACGTTACAGCTGGAGACATCTGATAACACGTTAAATCGCTACGACGCGGAGATAGAGATGAAAACTGAACTTAAGATCGCCCTGGGAATGTAGCGTAATTTGTCATATCACCCGGATAGTTCTTTGTTACAAACTTTCTTAATTCAGTGTTAATATAGGAGGAAACTCGAGTAAGCGGAGTTTGGTAGGGTCACACTGGATAACGCCCTTCCCACGTGCGTCCGGGCCAAACAGGACTCGAACCCATGACAGTTCTGCGTGTTACCGCTGTACCACCAACACACTACACCCATCAATTACTTGTTAAATGTTTTTGACATTTGAATCTTTTGATCAAGTATTTGCGTCTCTACCTTTCATGACTTTATCGTGTTAATTCTCATACTATATCTGCTTTCATTTATATACAAATACCTGATATTCTTAAGGAAACCGATTGAAGACATTACATGTTCTTCCCCATGAAGTTAGCCGATATCTTTCATCTTCCGTAGGCCAAAACTATCGTGTTGTTTGATGGTGAATCCCTGATGACGATCAATAAACAGCTGCTGTGGAGGGAGGGAAGATGTTATCACCACCTATTGGTCAGTCATGCACGGTGCTCCAGTACCATGCTCCAGTTCCCTTAATTAATTTAAAAATTCTTTATGTATTTGCTCTAAGCCAACTGGATATAGTACACACTAGGGATCAAAAACAGTTGTAAGTATGGTGAAAAGGCTAGAAATAATGACTATATTGTACAGTATAGCTTTTCTTATTCTCATTTTTCCCCTGGAAGTGTATTGCAATTGTTTACCGCTGTAGTGGTGATTGGCTACCAGGTGTGACGCCATGTTTCCAAGAAAACATATTTTGGTGACTAAAACAAGTGGAATTTAAGGCGTGCAGTTACGGTCTACGATGAACCCTTACACTGCCCTGCCGCGATGATTGCAAGTTACGTCTGTATTGGGCCTGAGAGATGTATTTTGTAGCTCAATAAACCCCCGGCGACATCTGTGAAGCACATGGCAGCTTGAGGATGCAAGCAGTAGGTGTGTAGCTTCCCCTTGCCAGACGTAAGTCTTCCCAGGTAAACCACACCATTGGCGTGACGTGCAACTGCCAAGTCGAATATTTTTTATCGTGATACGTTTATTATGTTTAGAATCTTGCTATAGACCAAATTAAATATTAGTTATCGACTTAATTTTAGGATTGCTACATTGGTACAACAACTTGAATTTTCTCTAGGGCAGAACTAATACAAGGCGCGCGGTTGGTTTAAATAGATTTACCTTAGTTTTCGGCTGTGTTTCGGGTGAGGTGTGCGGCTAAATTTGTGTCCCAAAATGACCATAAACTAATATTGTATCGTGTTCAAGAAATTGTTTATTGTGTCTATACAAAGAAGACGACCAACACTAATAATGATTCGGTGTAAAGGATATATAACATTAAGCATTTTAATAATAGGTAAGTATCTTATTTAAAAATTTCCTTTTGTTTCCCTGTCAGTAAAAAAAACTATGTCCCGTGATTGATTTATATTTTATATTTAATTATATCATAGACCTGATGGCATCGTCTAAAACACACAATTAAATCACATAGAAAATAAATTAACCTAATAATAATAATAATAATGATATTGTTGTTGTTGTTTAAGAGTTATTTAAAAGCTGAAGTTTCCACCTCTTAACTATACTCTGCCATGTACACACGCCTTTCATGTACACCTGTATTATGTACACACCTGTCTGTTGTAACCTCTGTTATGTACACTCACAGCTCCATTATATACACTCATATACCTATTATACACATATCTGTTGATGGTGTGCACTTTTATTAAGTACACGTCGGCTTTGTACACCCTATAATATCATATGTCATAGGTGCCAAGTTCAGATACTGTAGTAAGTGCTGGAACTCAGGAAAGTTTCAAAAGGAGGCTAGATAGATTCATGGATGATA